AACATTGTATTTCGTGCTAAAAAGAGCTAGTTTGTCTTTGCCCTCATTAATATGCACGATTTGCCCGCCAAAAGTCAGTGAACCGGAACTAGGACAGTCACAGCAGCAGGAAATAGGACTTGCATAATTACATTACGCCTCCGTGATTTTAAGTCACAGACAAGTTTAGAATGCTTCGTCAAACGAGACAGCCAATGAGCGTCTTTCAAATTCCGGTCAACCAATCAAAACAACTATGACATCATAGTACCCCGGAATACATATGACATCATCTTCCGAAAATAACTAAAACCTGTCAAAACCGGTTATACCAACCATGACCGCCACAAGATAAAAATAGAACATGACATCATTGATAAACCCGTCAAACTGGATATACTTAATGAGATTCCACCGCAAGTTAATGAGAGACCTGCGCATTTTATTCATGAGATCAAGACAAAAGGTTATGACGTCATTGGCGTTAATGTATTCCTCCGCACTCTAATGAGAATCCTCCGCAAAAAAGAGGAGTAACCGGTGCGCCCTATACTACTAACGTTTGTTTATCCTTTACAAGACAACTTAATTACATTTAATTATAAGCTTATAAAGAAAGCTTAATAGCGAAAAATTGTGCACTTTTGTTATTGCCGAACAATCCGACTGAAGCAGGGAAATTTCTCTTGCAATAACAAGACAAATTACACATTCAAGAAGACATAAATTTATTACTCACAAAAACCACTGCTGACAGGTATTCTCAAGAAGCCGTAATGACCAGCCATTTTTCGTAAATGAATAAAAATAAAATAGGACGAGAGTCGCCGGCACGAAAAAACAAGTTTTCCAGATTTTTCCGAGCAAAACATAAATCATCTTTTTAGGGAATCCAAACCATACTCCACGACTTGTTACGAACGTATGACTATTTTAACTTTAGGTGGACTTTAAGACTCTTTTACCTTTGTTTCGGCTTAGTTTCTATTGATCGTTAACGAATAAAGAAGTAAATTTTCTTTCTCAGTGACTCAGTTTCACAGAAAGAATTTTCTTTCAAACTAGACGATTGTGGCGTGTTTGTAACTAACCAATAGAAGCGTTTGTTTTTTTGTGTCGCGTGTTACGAGAATTTTGCAGTTAATCAAAAAGTAAGCATTTTTGCCAGCTATTTTGTGAAAGAATTTGCTCATGCTTTTAGCTGTACGTATACCGAGTTGTGGATGCACTTGTGAAGGTTGGAGAACACTGAAGAAGCTACTGAGTTGCTCTCGGCAGAATTTGTTATATTATGTAGTGCACAAGGAAATTTTAAACAATTACATGTAGTTTATAAATAATTACCTTAACTAATCCTCCATGAATGGTATAGTTCAACCACTCCATTTCACTGGTATCATAACTGAAGTAAAATGATGCAACAAAGCCAGAACCTGGAAAGCCTTGAGTACTGATTGCAGTAATGTTCATAATTTTTCCCAAATTCACTTGTATCCAAGGTTGTGTATCAATTGTATCAGCAACCCAAGATTTTGTGTTATTTAGTCTTGCATTTGATGCTGATAAATTTGAATCTAATTCTGAGGATGCTGTGATATCAGTGTCACGAATTTTCCTGTTTGTCATGCCAAGGAAACTGGAGGCAGTGGTACAACCTGAAAGTAAAAATTAATTAGTAAAGATGCACAAACAACTGTTAAAGTACAGTTAAAAGAATTTCATAACAATAACAAAATCTAAAGACCTACTACTGTTTAAAACTATATTGTTCCATTGCAAACCATGTGACATTTTAAAGGCATTTTACATATTCATTGTTAATCATATAATGTAAAATAATGAACAAATTTACTTAAAATCACGATGAATGTTTACTTAGGGTGTGTACCTTTGGAATGATCCAGATCAGGATCAGTCAGAGTAGTCATGGTATCCGATGAACTAATGAATCCTTAATTCCCAGAGTGGATTGGTCTGTTCCTTTGGCGTGATATGATCCGAGTAATCTGTTGTAGGATCACTGATTCCTATTCAGATTTGCCCAGAGAACGCACCCTCAAATCCTAGACTTAGTGGATCCAGCTCTTTTACAATAGTTATTGAAATAATATTATTATCAATTAATGTTTTAAGAGGATACCATATCATTAACAGTAAGTAAATCATACCTGAAGGGTGTTAGAAGACTGTGTACCTATGAAAACATGTAAAAAATTGTGTTAGAGAACATTGTAAAGCGATTTTTTGCCGGACCCTGCTACTTCAGCAAAATTGAAAAGAGTAAGATGTCAGAATACTTAAAAAATGATTGCATCAAAGAATATTGAACACAATAATTAATTAATTATTTATAACTACCTCCACATGCAGGCCACTTACCTTAAGCAACTAAGTACCTATTCAAAACACAATTTTTTCCCACTTAAAGCCTTCATTTGGAACCTTTTGTACGCCTCACCTGTCTCAGTTTTCCATTGTTTTTAAACTCTTATACATGTAAGCAACCATTTCCACTTTACGCACGTTGTTTAGTTTACGATCAAGTACAGTGTATGTCTTCTGTACAGAGCACAGCGATACTACTCACATCATACAAAGAACTTTTGTTGATGTCATGGAACTGCATATCATACAGTAAAAACTAAGAAATTGCATGCAAAACAATGTAAATTATCTTCAGAAAAGAGGGTTTCAGGGCTAGCTCATCTCAATTCTTGTAGCTAGTGACTGTACCTCACGTGAGAAACCACTGGATCTTGGCATTTGAGGTGGTAGCTTTGAGGAGGTTCAACTGTATAATTATACGCTGTGAAGGTGAGAGCAGGCAATAAATGGAAAACAGCAGTCTCATCCTCCCATACAATTTTCATTTATTAATACGTCTCCCTGCAATTTCTATGCATGACTATTACTGAACTCATTCATAACTTGTAAATACATTAGAATATATTTTGAAGTTGACTAAACTGTTTTTTGCTTCGTTTTTTGTTTGTTTTTACTTTGTTTTTTAGTTGCACTGACGCTACACTAGTTTCCGCAGTTTCCGGGAAAACTTGTCAGAAGAAAAAAAAAAGTCTTTGGACAGGCTACTAAGCATTTAGAAATTGAGGCAGTCAATAATTATAAATAAGCATCACTTGGAAATCAAATATCCAAGAGAATTTCAATGGTTGATTAAACTTTATATCACACATAATTTTCCTCATGGCTAATGTACTAAAAATATGTATGGTATTGTTCCAAAAGGTATTTCAGGGTTTCCTACTTCAATTTATAGCTTGATTGTCGCACATACAATAAATATACACTGAGAATAAATTAATAAAACTACTTCCTCAAAGTGAAAACCACTTCAGATTTGTCAATAATGGCCAGTAGGAAAATACTATAATTATTCTAAATTGATGAATTTTCATGACATGCAAACAACAACAACGTTTGACTTAATTACAGCTTACTTTTACCTCGAAATGAATAATCTCTGGCAATAAATAACATATATTTATTACTGTTTGAAAGGCCCGAGGTTATGATAATGAACATGTCAATTCCAGCCAATTACAGTGCAAGTGTAGTTACGAATGTCTAGCTTCCTCACAGACTTTAGACATGCAAGTCCTACATTAATTCAAAATAACAAAAAATTTTTGCTCGCAGAACCGGACGGACACAACAGACAAAGCGACACAAATGAAATCAACAAGGCGCTAAAGCAGGGTAAGACTAATCTGCAGAACTGCAGACCGCGGAACCGGCGGAACCTACGGAACCTAAAGAAATGACTGTTTTATTTACAACTGCCTTTAGCTAACGTGATGAAATAATTAGTTACAATCAAATATAACATTGACAGACTGTTCACAGTCCCGTTTTTCCCGTAAGATCGTCGAGATCGCTCACCTTCACTGGCAGCCATTTTGTAATTGGATTCAAATGAGGGTCTCCCAGGGGGGTCCTTGTTCCCTTCCAAAATTGCCCTATGTTCCCATGTTCCCACACGTTTTCCTTATTTGCTCCCCTTTTACATGTAATAAATTTGCTTACCACTTATAAACACGCTCAATTCCCTCCCGCAAAAAAAAAAAAAAAAAAAAAATCCTGCGCATTTTATTCATGAGATCAAGACAAAAGGTTATGACGTCATTGGCGTTAATGTATTCCTCCGCACTCTAATGAGAATCCTCCGCAAAAAAGAGGAGTAACCGGTGCGCCCTATACTACTAACGTTTGTTTATCCTTTACAAGACAACTTAATTACATTTAATTATAAGCTTATAAAGAAAGCTTAATAGCGAAAAATTGTGCACTTTTGTTATTGCCGAACAATCCGACTGAAGCAGGGAAATTTCTCTTGCAATAACAAGACAAATTACACATTCAAGAAGACATAAATTTATTACTCACAAAAACCACTGCTGACAGGTATTCTCAAGAAGCCGTAATGACCAGCCATTTTTCGTAAATGAATAAAAATAAAATAGGACGAGAGTCGCCGGCACGAAAAAACAAGTTTTCCAGATTTTTCCGAGCAAAACATAAATCATCTTTTTAGGGAATCCAAACCATACTCCACGACTTGTTACGAACGTATGACTATTTTAACTTTAGGTGGACTTTAAGACTCTTTTACCTTTGTTTCGGCTTAGTTTCTATTGATCGTTAACGAATAAAGAAGTAAATTTTCTTTCTCAGTGACTCAGTTTCACAGAAAGAATTTTCTTTCAAACTAGACGATTGTGGCGTGTTTGTAACTAACCAATAGAAGCGTTTGTTTTTTTGTGTCGCGTGTTACGAGAATTTTGCAGTTAATCAAAAAGTAAGCATTTTTGCCAGCTATTTTGTGAAAGAATTTGCTCATGCTTTTAGCTGTACGTATACCGAGTTGTGGATGCACTTGTGAAGGTTGGAGAACACTGAAGAAGCTACTGAGTTGCTCTCGGCAGAATTTGTTATATTATGTAGTGCACAAGGAAATTTTAAACAATTACATGTAGTTTATAAATAATTACCTTAACTAATCCTCCATGAATGGTATAGTTCAACCACTCCATTTCACTGGTATCATAACTGAAGTAAAATGATGCAACAAAGCCAGAACCTGGAAAGCCTTGAGTACTGATTGCAGTAATGTTCATAATTTTTCCCAAATTCACTTGTATCCAAGGTTGTGTATCAATTGTATCAGCAACCCAAGATTTTGTGTTATTTAGTCTTGCATTTGATGCTGATAAATTTGAATCTAATTCTGAGGATGCTGTGATATCAGTGTCACGAATTTTCCTGTTTGTCATGCCAAGGAAACTGGAGGCAGTGGTACAACCTGAAAGTAAAAATTAATTAGTAAAGATGCACAAACAACTGTTAAAGTACAGTTAAAAGAATTTCATAACAATAACAAAATCTAAAGACCTACTACTGTTTAAAACTATATTGTTCCATTGCAAACCATGTGACATTTTAAAGGCATTTTACATATTCATTGTTAATCATATAATGTAAAATAATGAACAAATTTACTTAAAATCACGATGAATGTTTACTTAGGGTGTGTACCTTTGGAATGATCCAGATCAGGATCAGTCAGAGTAGTCATGGTATCCGATGAACTAATGAATCCTTAATTCCCAGAGTGGATTGGTCTGTTCCTTTGGCGTGATATGATCCGAGTAATCTGTTGTAGGATCACTGATTCCTATTCAGATTTGCCCAGAGAACGCACCCTCAAATCCTAGACTTAGTGGATCCAGCTCTTTTACAATAGTTATTGAAATAATATTATTATCAATTAATGTTTTAAGAGGATACCATATCATTAACAGTAAGTAAATCATACCTGAAGGG